CAGACCAGATATCTCCTGAGCGCCCTGGGCCCCAGACTGCACCGTGGAAAGGGGCCCGAAACGTGCTGCTGCAAAACTGGCTTCTCGGCCACCTGGAACTTAGTACCCCTCCCACAGTACTTAGCACGCTCAGCAGAGTCGATGCCTAGCACGTCGCACAGCTCCTGCTCCATGCTGTCACACATCTCCCCATAGAGCACCGATAGATCTGCGCGCGATGGCTGCCGTCGCAGCCGTTCAAACTTGCCCTCGAACTGGGCCCAGTCCTGTGGCGGAGGCGTTGGACCTGTGGGCTTCTCTAGCGGAAAAGGCTTTGGCAGCTTCAGCACCTTCTGAGTCCTCTGGTGTGCCGTCGTACCTAACCTAAGTGAAACTGGATAATGTGTCTTGTTGCTGGAGTCTTCTCGCCCGACGCATGCCCGAACTTCCCCGGCAAGATCGTGCGAAAGATCGTGCGACACGACAAAGTAGTCAAGTTCACGCCACCTTTTGCCTACTCGACACGTTGGTTTCCCCGAGTTGACTACCACGGCTCTAAGTTTACCCAAGACAGGCATCTTCTGGACCTCCGAGGGCACGTCGTTCCAGCCAGCAGCAATCACAAAGGGCCTCTGATAACCATAGAGTAACTCCCCCAGCTGGTTTAGCAGTTCTTTGCCTTTTGCTCCTTGGACCCCTTCTCCGCCAGGAAGATAAAGCGAACACATATAGAACCCTCCCCGCACGCAACCATTGACCCAGACAGTCGTTGAACGTGCATGGTGAAGGTGCCGTGCTCCTCCCACTGCCTCACTGACGCCTATGTGCTGGCGAACTCATACCGCAACTCCTGCTGAGACGCCCCCCAGGTTCGTCTGGTCAGCAGGACTGAGACGTAGCTTCCAAACCTCGTCGGCCGCTGACTTCTCGGATTGTGAAACATTTGGCTTCGGGGCCCTGCACTCCTGGATGCAAAGAACTGATGAACTCTTGAACATATCATCTGTCGGGGCCGCGAGCGTGCCTGACCATCCTGAAGTATTCATGGTGGTGATCTCCCACGACATATTGGCTGAGGAACTGCTTCGGCTGGTACTCTTGGGTAGTGCCAATCTGCCCGTGCTAAACGCTCGAAGTTCCTGACGCTGGAGCCGCCGCGCCTCCTTTGCCAGCTCCTGGGCCCTTGCCACCACTGGTTGGATGGTCGCCCACCAAGCGCCTCGCATGCTCGCGCAGCTCCTCCGACGACTTCGCCATGCCCTTGCCTGCCGCTTGCGCCGAAGCCGCGGTGCCAGTCTGCGCTGGCGGCACAGCCGCGGCCGGCTGTGGGCTGCCCACGCCAGCCGCCGTGCCCACGCCCTGCTGCGCTGTCGGGGCCGAGCCTGCAGCGTCCGTTGCCTCAGGCTCCTGGCGGCGTCGCTTCGACTGCACTATGGTCCTGATCTCACCGTGCTCCTTCTTATACTGCTCCGCTTTCTTCCTGAGGTCTCCAAACATCGCCTTCGCGAGGGTCTGGAACTGCTCCTTGAGCTGCGCCTCACGCTTTCTCGCCTCCTCTTTGCCCGTCTCCTCAACGTCCACGAACTCCGCCAGGCCGAAGAGGTCCTCCCCGCACGAGGGACTCCACTCCTGCTTTCCCTCAAGCATGGCCTCCAGGCTGAGGGTCGGCGCCTGCGGGGCCGACGGCACGGGCGGCACGACGACGGCGTGCAGCTCCTTGATCGCTTCTTTGTAGATGCCTTCCTGCGTCTCGATCTGGTCCAAGAGCGCGGCGACCTTCGCCCCCTGCTCCGTGACCTGCTGCTGAAGCTTCTCCAAGTGGGCTGACTCGGTGCCCAAGTCCGTCTCCAGCTGCTTGATGCACTTGTGCGCCTGATCCGCCCTGACTTGGGGAGGCACGTGCTGTGTATCTCTCATGGCCAGCACCTGCTGATAGTACTCAACCATCTGGGTGTTGTTGCTCTTCTCTCCGAGTTGGACCAGCTGTTGCAACTCAGGCACCGTGAGCCCTGGTACAGGATCCGAACATGCCTGGGCGAGGCCTGATTGAAGTGGCGGGCCGTGTACACCAGCGCGACCACCCAGACCAGGAGGAATGCCCAGATCTCTGCCCTTGCCCTTGGACTTCTTGGCCTTGCCCGTCTTCCAGTGCCGCTCACAATGCTTGCACCAGTGCTCGCTGGTCGGGGTCTTTCCGCACCCACAGTGCGTGCATTTCCAGACAGACGCGTCATGCCAGCCTCCTGCCATCGCGCGCCTCTTCGGAAAATCTGCGGGGCCGAAATCTTGATATGAGAATGTGGCTCTCACCCTGGGCCAGGGCTTCTGATCGAGGGTCGTACGGCTTGAGCCAAATGGCTACGGATTCTCCTCCTCCTCCTCCTCTCGCTTCTCCTCCTCCTTTTCCTCCTTCTCCTCCTCCTCCCCCCTCTACCCTCCTCATCCTCCCTCCAAACACCTCCTCCTCCTCCTCCTCCTCCTCCACGCTCCACCGTCCTCGTCCTCCTCCTAGCCTCCTCCTCGTCCTCCATCCTCCTCCTCCCCTCCTCCTCCTCTCCTCCAACTCCTCCCCTCCTCCTCCTCCTCCTCTCCCTCACTCCTCCTCCCTCCTCCTCCTCCTCCTCCTCCTCCTCCTCAGTCACTGCACCTTTCCTCCTCCCCTCTCCTCCTCCTCCTCCTCCTCCTCCTCCTCCTCGCCTCCTCCTCCTCCTCCTCCTCCTTCTATCTCCTCCTCCACCTAACTCCTCCTCCTCCCCTCCCCTCCTCCTCCTCCTCCTCCTCCTCCTCCTCCTCCTCCTCCTCCTCCCACCTCCTCCTCCACCTCCCCTCCTCCTCCTCCTCCTCCTCCTCCTCCTCCACCCCTCCCTCCCTCCCCTCCCTCCCTCCCTCCTCCCTCCCTCCCTCCCTCCCTCCCTACCCTAGAACCCTCCCTCCTCCTCCTCCACTCTCCTCCTCCTCCTCCCCCTCCTCCTCTCTCATGCTCCTTCTTATCCTCCTCCTACCTCCTCCTCCTCCTCCTCCTCCTCCTCCCTCCCTCTCTCCTCATACCTCTCCCTCCTCCTCTCCCTCCTCCTCCTCCTCCTCCTCCTCCTCCTCCTCCTCCTCCTCCTCCTCCTCCTCCCTCCTACACCTGCCGTCCTCCTCTCCTCCTCCTCCTCCTTCCTCTCCTCCTCACCTCCTCCTCCTCCTCCTCCTCATCCTCATGCCTCATCCTCATCCTCATCTCCTCCACTCCTCCACAATTACTCAATATGAATACTACTCTCCCTCTTCCCCTGATGACGGTTTGAAAGTGTCCGACCCCCCCCCGCGTATTGTTTTTTACACACAGGTTTCCCCGGAGTTGGGTTTTCGCCTGCATGTTTTTCCAAAATGCTGCTCTCGCTGAGGCGCCGGCCTCATTTTCGGGCCCCGCTCGTTCCGAATCGTGCTCCCGCTGCAGCGCTGGCCTCATTTCCGTGCTTCCGCTCGTTCCGAATCGTGCTCCCGCTGCAGCGCTGGCCTCATTCCGACTCGTGCTCCCGCTGCAGCGGTGGCGTCATTTCCAGTGCCATGCCACGGCATGCAATGCAATGCTAGGTTGATGCTACGCTTTGCGGTGCCCTTCTACGCCATGCCATGCCGTGCTCTACAATGCATCGCGTACCCTTTCGGGATCATTGCCCTGCTCAACATCCGACTGTGCGAGTAGAGAGGGGATCTGCGCCATGGTAAGGGATGGGAGGGAGGGGTAGGATGTCAGATATGACGCGAGCGCACCTGGCTTGTCCTCCTCCCCCTCCCCCTCCCCCTCCCCCTCCTCCCTCCCTCCCTCCCTCCCGGACTCCTCCCCTCGACGACGGGAGAGTGCTCTCTCACCCCCGACGGGGAAGGATACACAGAAAAGGCGTCCCGTCGACGGGACCAGACAGACACCCCACACACGCCGACAGGGTCGGCGGATATGTCATTTGTCCTTCAAAAAGTGCCTGTAGGAGGACATGCCTTTACCTAAGTAAGGTTGATGTTCCAACACCAGGCAGAGTTTCGAGCACCAAGGCAGCACTTAAGCTGGAGGGCCCCTGAAGGGCGACGCCCCTGGAAAAGCCTTCACTTGTCGGGCCCTGGGAGGCGAGACTCGTTCGACACTTTGCCAGCGTTCGGGGTGCTCGAAAATATGTTTGGGATGTGTGGCCCTCCAGTACGACTGGAACCACACAAGTAGACAGTCGGCCCGCACAGGAAGGACGAGCAATTTTCCAAGGTTGCCCTTGCATCCTTCCGCTTCGTCCCATCCTTGGCCGCTTTCGCTGGCCGCGCCCCGCTCGCAGATTTGTCGACATGACCTTCCAAGGCCTTTGCATCCGTATCGTGCGTCCCACAGCGGAGGCGCGCATCAAGAAACCGGATACTTATCTTCAGGGTGCCCAGGGTTTCTTCGCTCCGCGCGCTGCGCGGTAACTTCCCGCGGCCGCTGAAGAAGCTGCTGCCTTCAGGGTGCTCTGGGCTCCCCCCCGTGGTGCCTCTCGCGCGCGGGTTTCCATGGCTGGGTTCCTGGCGGCCGCGTCCGCACCAGCGCTGCCTCCCGCCGATCGGCGGCGAGCGAGGGGGGGAGTGAGCAGGAGGCGGCCTCCTCGGCAGGTTTGGAGGTCCCCAGGCCTCCTGAGAAGTTTGCTGACCCTTCCCCGAAGACAGGCAAAAACTCTTCAGAGGGCGCGAGGATGGCTTCTCAGAAATCCCGCCGCCTTCTGAGAAGGCCTTCTCCTCCTCACTTCCCCACCGCCTCGCTCGCCGCCAGACCGATCCGATCTCGCTTGATGGGCCTGTTTTCCACCATCACCACCAGAAGTTTGAGGGGACGGAGGAGGAGGAGGAGGAGGAGGAGGAGGAGAAGGAGGAGGAGGGGGAGGACCCCCTCCCCCTCCAACTCATGGTGGTGGTGGTGGAAGGCAGGCCCATCCTCGCTGCCCCGCCGCGGCGCCGTCGCCCCCCGCCGCCCCCGACCCCGGCCCGTGCGTGCCCCCCCCTCCCCGCCGCCTGAGGCCGCGCGCTGCCCCTCCGGGCTGGACAGCGCGGCGGTGCGGAGCCCCCTGGATTCCGGACGGGCACGGGAGCGGCAGCGGTCGGGTGTTTTTCGGAGGAGGAGGAGGAAAAGGAAAAGGAGGAGGAGGAGGAGGAGGAGGCGGAGGAGGCTGAGGAGGAGGAGGAGGAGGAAGAAGAGGAGGAGGACGAGGCAGGGCCTCCGGCGGTGCGGAGCCCCCTGGAGTCCGGACGGGCACAGGAGCGGCAGGGCCGGGAGCCTTGAGACGGGGGTCAATGCAGACGGGGGTCGGTCAGGGCGCCCGATCTTGCAGGATCCTGCAGGGCCAGGGTCTCATTGACATTCATTGACCCGGGTTTGGGTGCAGGATCCTGCAGGATCCTTCGCATTGACCAGGGTGGGTGCAGGATTTTGCAGGATTTTGTAGGATCCTGCAAGGCCTGGCTGACCCAGGTCTGGATTGACCCCGGTCAGAAGATTCCCGACAGGGGCAGCGGCAGCGGTCGGGTGCCTTTCGGAGGTGGATAGACCTCCTACCCTGACACGTCGAGTGAGGAATTGGCCGTTTTCGGTTCGCGGGAGGGCGTCGCGGCCGTCATTTCTACGGGTCCAGGTCCGTCGGTTTCGGTCCCAGGCCGTTTTCACTAAGGGGAGGTTTACTAATGGGAGGTTTGTCTACCGCCGAGTCTTCCCCTCCTCTTATACAGTGGGGGCGCACACCAAGAAACCATATGCTTTTCGTCAGGGCATCCTGGATTTCTTCGCTCCTCGCGCTGCGCGGTGACTTCCCGCAGCCGTTGAAGGAGCTGCTGCGTCCAGGGTGCTCCGGGTTTCCCCTCAGGTGCACCTCGCGCACGGGTTCTCAGGGTTGGGTTTCTTGCGAGGGTTTCTTGCGGCCGCGCCCGCACTGTGGCCGTTTGGGGGTCGCACTGTTTTTCGGGCGGGCCTGTCCCTCTGCAGGATCAGGCGATCGCAAGCACGGATTTTAAGGGGGCGTGGATTCCCGACGGGTCCCGTTTCCATGGCTGATCGCAGATTTCCGCCGCCGAGCGAGGCGGCACTGGCCGCATTTGGGGAGGGCACCTCCCCGGATCCATGGATTTGGCGACCGCGCGCTAAATCCATGGATCGCTAATCCATGTTTGCGCGCACCCGACAGAAGGAGCATCCAATAATAGGACAAATATAGTCTGGTGACGACTTCTCGTGTTTTTCGTATCATGCAGCAAGTGTTTGTTTGACCATGTTTTATCGGTCTTTCTAAATCCGCCTGTGGAGCGATGCTAATTTTTCATACTAAATGCTTGTTTGACTATGATGTTTTTGTTTTTCTCCCGAGATCCAACGATGCTCTTGTTTTTGCTCCACAGTAGCGTGGGGACCGCATTTGGCCCATCCTCCTGCTCCTCCTCTCCCCTCCTGTTCCCCCTCCCCCTCCTCTTTCTCCTAGCCCCCGCGAATCCAGTCCAAGTCTGGTCCAAATCCGGTCCAAATTTGTTCGAAATCTGGTCCAAATCAGGCCCAAATTGGACAGTGCCGGGGACCACGCAGGCTCCCATGGAGCGGACACCAAAGGAAGGGCGGGCAGGTCTTGGGTCCTGGATTCGGGAAAGGCGGTGCCCCGAGGCTCGGCAGGTGCTCGACTCGCAGCAGCCTGCCGCTCCGGCGCAGGTCTGCTGCTCCGCCGGCGACGCACCCCAGCAGGCTCCGCGCAGACCTGCAGGAATGATAAGGCAGCCTTAGGGGAACAGAAAGTGACATAAGCATAAAAACTCAGAGGTCCGCGCGGATTTCTCAGATCGGCGCTGGACCCTCATCCCTGGCGCGCGGAGCGCGCCAGGGGCTGCGCCGGAGGCGCCGCCGGGGGGCCCCAGCGCCGATCCGAGAAATCCGCGCGGACCTCGTTCCCCTGCAAGCGGATTGTGGACGAAAAACAAGACATAGTCAAACAAAAACACAGCAAGAAAATGATCGAACAATAGTCCCCAGACTGTTCTCTGACTATTTTGGAATACTCCGACCCCAGAAATCCGCGCGGACCTCCGAGCTCTGATGTTTGTGTTGCTTTTTGTTCCCCTAAGGCTGCATCATCCCTGGAGGAGGAGGAGGAGGAGGACGAGGAGGAGGAGGCGGAGGAGGAGGAGGAGGAGGACGAGGAGGAGGACGGGGGTCAGAGACCGAGTTGTTCAGCAGGCTTGGCTTCATTCCTCCTCCTGACTGGTCTTCTGGGGTCCCAGCCAGTTCAGACCCTCAGGCCGCCTCCGACCCCTCCCTCCTCCTCCGCCTCCTTCTCCTCCTCCTCCTCCGCCTCCTCCTCCTCAGGCGTTCAGCAGATTTGGCTTCATTCCTCAGGCGTTACAGGCCTCAGAGTGCAGTGAGCTGCTCGATCTCATGCGAGCGAGCTGCTGGATCTCCGCCCAACACCGCCGTCCGAGGCTTCAAGCGCACCTGGGGCACCAGAGATTTTTTAGGGGCCTGGAGAAGAAAATTGGCTTCATTCCTCCGCCTGACCGGTTTACTGGGGTCCCAGCCAGTTCAGACCCTCTGGCCGCCTCCGACCCCTCCCTTCCCCTCCTCCTTCTCCTCCTCCACCGCCTCCTCCTCCGTCCCTTTTCCTTCTAAGTAATCCCTCCTGGTCGCACCCCCAGACGTGTTGGTAGGGCGGGCTGGGCGTTTCGCCGGAGACCTCCCCATCAGTGATGATCCTCAGCCTTGGGATTCGCAGCAGTTGCACGGATTGAGGGCGGGTGGTTTTCAACACGTGATTTTCGGTTCATCGCCGCGCACACTCGCTAGAAACATGTGCAACAGTTTCACCGATGGAGGGCGGGTGCTTTTCAACATGTGCCTTTAGGTTAAGCGCCGCGCGCACTCGTCGTAAACCTTTGGAACCTTCTTAAGGATGGAAGGCGGGTGGATTTCGACTTGTGGCCCTTTCCTTAGCGCCTCGTGTATTCGCTTTCAAAGCGGCAGTTTCACATGTTCGTACGGTTCAAGTCCCAGGAGTGGCATGTTGACATGACTTATGATTGCTAGGACGCAAGAGTCGCGTGTTTCGCAGTATGGAAGCCCCAGGAATTGTGTTTCGGAGGGCGAATTGCCAGGACGGAACAGTCTCGCTGATCCGCGGCGCTGAAGTCCCCCCCAATTGCGTCATGGCACGATTGAGGATTCTCAGACGTTTGTTTCTCTCTCGATGAGCCAATTCTTGCTATGAAAACAAATTCCTTTTAGAAACATATGAAGAGGGAGCGTGGAGGGGTTGTTCCTTCTCCTCCTCCTCCCTCCTCCCCTGTTCCCTCTCCTTGTGTACAACTACTTCCTGGCGCACCCCGAGGCCGGTCGGAAGGGCGGGCCGGGCGTTTCGCTTGAGATTTTCCCACCACTGATGACCCTGAAACTTACAAGTTGGTAACAGTTTCGCGGATTGAGAGCGGGTGATTTTGAACACGTGGTTATCGCTTTAGCGCCGCGTTTTGCAAGAGGTTCACGGAGTGAGGGCGGGTCGTTGTCAAAATGCGGTGTTCGCCATAGCACCGCGCACATTCGTTTTTAAACATTTGTTAAAGTTTCGCGGATTGAGGGCGGGTGGTTTTCAAAATGTGGTTCTCGCCTGAGCACCGCGCGAAGCCGTTTCAAAAATTGACAAGATTTCCACGGATTGAGGACGCTTGTTTTCAAAATGTCGTTAGTGCTTCAGCGCCGCACACACTCGTGTTAAACATGTTTAAGAGTTCTCAGGGGAACCCATGGTCAACGCACAAGAAATCGAGTTTTGAAAGGACTCGGGATTGCGAGGGCGCAACACTTACGTTGGTTCACGGTGTTGAAGTCCCAGGAATGGCGTTCTGGCACGATTCAGGATCGTCAAGACGCGCTAGGCAGGTGAATTCGCGGCGTTGGGGTCCCGATAATGGTGTTTTGGCACGCTTCATGATTTTCAAAAGGTTGTTTCCCAACGAGGCAGTTCTTTCAGTGGAACGAAACCCTTTGTAGGAGCGTGTGACAAGGGAGTTCGGGTGGAAGGTTGATGCTTACATCGTTGATGTGTCTTGGGTTTGCACCGGTCCTCCTCCTCCTCCTCCCTTCTTTCTCTCCCCTTGTCGCTCTCCTCCTCCTTTCCTCCTCCTCCTGCTCCTCCATCACTTCGCCTCATCTATAACTCTTTCCTGGCGCACCCGCAGGCGTGTCGGCCGGGCGCCTTGGGCGTTTCGTTTGAGACATCTTCATCATTTCTGATCCTGAAGCTTGGGATTCGCAGCAGCTTCACCGATGTTTCAAACGGTGGCTCTCGCCGTAGCGCCGCGCAAACTTGTTTTAACAGTTTAAAGCAGTTTCAAGCATTGAACGCGGGTGGTTTTAACATGCGGCTCTCGCCTAAGCGCCGCGTGCTTTCGCTTGACGCATTTGCAACTGTTTCAAGGATGGAGGGTGGGTGGTTTTCAGAATGTGGCTTCCTCCATACTTGCCGCGCGCGTTCGTCTTAAAACTTCGTAGCAGGATTAAGGATGAAGGGCGGTTATTGTTCGAAAGGCAGTTCTCGCCCCCGCGCCGCGCACATCCGTTTTGAAACTTTGAAGCAACTTTGAGCATTCGCATGGTCGAAGTCCTAGGGTTTGTGCCCTGGCAAGATCCAGGATTGTTAACAGTCTCCCGGGGAGGTGTTTTGGTGCGGCTTTGGATCGCGCGGACGCAACAGCTACGTGGATTTCCAACGCTGAAGTCCCAGGAAATGCGTGCTGGCACGATTGAGGATTATCCGACGGTTGGCCTCGAACGGGGCATTTCCCGCAATGACAATACATGTGTTTAGGGCCTTGTAAAGACGGAGTTTGGAGGGAAGGTCTATTGCAACATCGTTGTTGCGTCTTGGGTTTTACTGGTCCTCCTCGTCCTTTTGCTCCTCCTCTTCCTCGTCCTTCTCCTCCTCTTGCTCCTTCTCTCCCTCCTCTCCTTTCCCCCCTCCCTCTTCCACTCCGTCCTCATTATCCTCACCCTCCTCCTTTTTCCCGTCTCCCTCCCCCCCTCCTTCCCCTTCCCCTCGTTTTCCTTTTCCCTCTCCTCCTTTTCGTCCTCCTCCTCCCACTCCTCCGCTACCTCCTCATCATTTTCGTCCTCCTCCTCCTCCTCCTTTTCCTCCTCCTCCGCCCCTCTACTGTCCATCATCCTGTTTTTCCTCCTCGTCCTCCTCCTCCTCGCCCCTCTCTCCTCCCTCCTCCTTCCTCCCCTTCCTCTTCGCAGCCATTGTTTGCTGTTGCCCTGCACATTTGCTTCGCATGGTGCGCTTCATTTCTTGTAGTGCTCTCTCAGGTTGACAGCGAGCCCGCAGTCCGATCCGATCCGATCCTTTCCCTCCCGTTCCCTCCCTTCTCACCTTCCCCCCTCCTCTTCCTCCTCCTCATCATCCTCCTCCTCCTCCTCCTGCTCCTCCTCCTCCTCCTCGTCATTCTCCTCGATGGGCCTGGGGCTGCCAAAAAATGCCCCGGGCCCACGGGGTTCCGACGATTTCCCAGGGAGGCCTCCCGCGGCCCCACCGGTCGGGCGTTGCCAGAAGCGCTCTTGCCCCCGCCCCCCACCCCCAAGCTGCCTAGAACCTCCCTCCTCCCGAGGGCAGCATCGAGAACCTCCAGGAGCGCGGCGCCACCCCGCCGCTGCCTGCTTCTCTCCCGGGGCGTGTTTCAACTATGTTGGGGCCGCTTTTGGAAAGAATGAGAGGCCGCCATCTTCCACATCAGCATCGTCTGCCAGTGGGCCGGAAAACGCCCCTCCTCTCTCCTCCTCCCTCCCTCCTCCCTCTCCTCCTCCCTCCCTCCCTCCCGCTCCCCCGCTCCTTCTCCCCCTCTCCCTTTCCGACCCCCCGCGGCGGGGGGCTTTTGGCAGTTTGGAGCTTCGGGGGCCGCGCGCCGGGCCTCGGGGCCGTCGACGAGTCGCCTGGGATGAGAAACCAGCCTCCCGGGGGGGGGGGGGTCTAAAATCCTTAGGGCCGAAGTCGCGCGAAATCACGGCGTCGGAGTTCTGGGGGCGCGTCCTCAGGATTCCCCCAAAGGCCCCCGCGGCCCCCAGTCGGCGGCGAAATCCGAGCTCGCCGATCAACGTTTCAGGCAGTTCGATGGACGGCGGGGGCAGGGTTCAGAATTCGTCGAGCGCGTTGCTAAATCCGAACCCTACCCCCGCCCTCCAGAGATTCGCGAGGGTCGGCGTTCGTGGGGGGTGGGGCTCGGACGCCGCCGCCTCGTTCGAGCGCCCCCCGCGAGCCCCGCAGGCCCCAGGAGTTCCAAAATCGAGCGAAAAACTGAAGCCACCTTGGGCCGCGGACGCCGTCAGCAGCCTCCGAAATGGGCGCGCGGACGCAGTTGCTGACGCAGAGGGGGCTCTGGGCCTCGAGGTTGGGGGGCACCAGCTCGAGACGACGCTATCAGCCTTATAGTTTTTGGTTAGATCGCCCGAGGGGCGCGAACATAACCGCCCTTCGCTCATCGCGGCTCGTTGTGGAGAGCGCCGGACAGGTGACCTTCCTCAAGGCGGCTTCGCGGGGGCGCGGAGGCATCCGCCCATCGCGGGGCGCGACGCGCGAAGTTTTCGGTGACCTAAAAGATCGACGTTGGCATTCTCTGCCCACTAGTTATAGGCCGATGCTGAGCGTTGCAACCGTTTTTGGCAACCACGCCGGCCGTTCCCCCCTCTGCCTTCCCTTCCCCGATAGATTTGCCCGTGGGACGTTCCTACATGTCTTAGAGGAGCGGGCGGGCGCCATGTCATCGCCGGCCGGCCTTCCCCGGGTTTCCAGGGCTGCCCCGTTGCAGTTGGCGCCCGCCGGGAGGGGAGGCTCGCTGCTAGGCGACATCTGGCTGGGCATGAAAAAGGCAGAAACGGACGCGCTTCAGGACGCGCGCCGCGGGGGGGGGAGGAGGGGTTCGCCGCCGAGGTTTCCGCCCGCCTTCCTTCCTTCCCTCCCTCCCTCCTCTTCCTCGTCGTCGTCCTCCTCCTCCTCCGCCTCCTCTTCCTCCTCCTCCTTTTCCACCTCCTCGTCCTCTTCCTTCTCCTCCTCCTCTTCTTCCTCCTCCACTTCCTTTTCCTCCCGATGTTCCTCTTATTATTTTTAGTATGGTGCTTCTTCTTCTAATACGTATTCGTATTCATATTTTTTTATTTTTCTTATTCTACGCTTTCCTACTTATTACTATTCTGTTTCTTCCTGTTATTGATATTATTGTTATGCTTCGTCGTCGTCCTCCTCCTCCTCCTCCTCCTCCTCCTCCTCCTCCTCCTCCTCCTCCTCCTCCTCCCCTCCTCCTCCTCCTCCTCCTCTCCTCCTCCTCCTCTCCTCCTCCTCCTCCTCCTCCTCCTCCTCCTCCCCTCCTCCTCCTAACCCTGTCGTTGTCGTCGTCGTCGTCCTTCTCTCCTCCTCCTCCTCCTCCTCCCTCCTCCTCCTCCTCCTCCTCCTCCTCCTCCTCCTCCTCCTCCTCCTCCTCCTCCTCCTTCCTCCTCCCCCTCGTCCTCCTCCTGCTCCTTGCTCTGCTCCTCCTGCTCATCCTCCTTTTTATCCTTTTCCTCATACTTTTCCTTTCCGTTTTTTTCCTTTCTCCTCCTCCTCTCCTCCTCCTCCTCCTCTCCTCCTCCTCCTCCCTCCTCCCCTCCTCCTCCTCCTCCTCGTCCTCGTCCTCCTCCTCCTTCTCCCCGTCCTCCTCCTCCTTCGTATTAGTATTATTATTCTTATTATTATGTTTCTTCTTATTATTCTTATTATTTTTCTTTTTCTTCTCATACTATTCTTATTTGTCTTTTTCTTGTTCTCCTTCTTCTCCCTCCTCCTCTCCTCCTCCTCCTCCTCCTCCTCCTCCTCCTCCTCCTCCTCCTCCTCCTCCTCCTCCTCCTCCTCCCTCCTCCTCCCCCTCTTCCTCCTCTTCCTCCTTCTCCCCGTCCTCCTCCTCCTCCTCCTCCTCCTCCTCCCTATTCCTACTCCTACTCCCCCTCCCTCCCCCGTCGTTGTCGTCGTCGTCGTCCTTTCCTTCCTCCTCCCCCTCCTCCCCTCCTCCTCCTCCCCCTCCTCATCCTCCTCCTCCTCCTCCTCCTCCTCCTGTTCCTCTTCCTCCTCCTCCTCCTCCTCGTCCTCCCCCTCCTGAGTTTTCCCCCCGTCTTCCTCCTCCTGATGTTCCTCCTTCCCCTCCTCCTGTTCCTCCTCCTCCACATCATCGTCATCACCATCTACAACCTCATCGCCACCATCATCATCATTATAGCATCAGCATCATTATCTGTACCGTATCATCATCACCACAATCATGATGATGATCATCATCACCATCATCATCATCAGCAGCATCGCCAGCATCATGTTCAGCACCATCATCATCAGCAGCATCATCATCACTATCATCGCACGATCATCATCACAACCATCATCACCCGCATCATCGTCATCATCGCCAACGTCGTCATCATCACCCGCATCGTCATCATCGTGGCCACCATCATCCTCATCACCATCACCATCATCAACATCATCAGCAGCATCATCATCACCCGCATCATCACCATCCCTTCCCCCATTCTCCTCCACATCCTCCTCCTCTGTTTTCGTTTCGTCCTCTTCCGCTTCGTCTCCCCCCTCCTCCTATTCATCATGTTCCTTCTCCTCAGCCATTCGTTCTCCTCCTCCTTCTCCTCCTCCTCCTCCTCCTCCTCCTCCTCCTCCTCCTCCCCCTCGTCCTCGTCCTTCCCCTCTTCCTCGTCCTCCTTTTGCCCGTAGCCATTTTGACTCAAGGCTTCGAGCTTGTCCGCAGCTGTGCGGCAGGCTCGAGATCCCATTGCAAGAATTTCGGCATCACGGCGGTCTCTGCCAGTTTTGTGATGGCTCGCTCCAGGCGGGCCAGCTCGGCTCCGCGGCATTGCGCATGGGCGGCAATGGCAATCGCGGATCGAAGGCTGGGTACCTGGAGGGAGCGCAATCCTACACTAAGTGCAAGGCCTGCGGCTGCAACTGGAACTGGGTCAGCAACACCTCGTGCTTCCAGTGCCGCAGGGGCTTGCAACAACCTGCGCGCTCGCAGGAGAGGGCACCGACTGGGGCATGGACATCGCCAGGGGGCCGTCTCGCGCGGGCAGTCGCCCGCGGCGCCAGCAACAGGCCGCTTCGCCCGAGGAGTTGCTGCGCCAGCTCCGTGCAGTGCCGTTGGACGACGCCGCCACGGCCCAGAGGTTTCAGGACCTCGCCGTCGCCCTGGCGCCGCCGCCCTCGGCAGGCGCCGACGTCGTGCTCAACTAGGCGCGGGCGCGCGCCTGCAGGGCTGAGCACGCCCTCAAGGCGACCATCACGGCCGTCGCGGACGCCGAGCAGTGGCTGGTCGCCAAGCGTGCCGGGCAGGAGGACGCCATCGTGGAGGTGGCCGAGGCCGAGGCTGCGGCGGGCCAGGCCTACTCGGCCGCTCCCGAGGGCGCCGCCGCCCCCGCGGTGCCTGCCGCGCCAGCAGCCAGCGCCCCTGCCGTCGGCGCCGCCCTGGACTTTTCGCGCCTCCTGGAGCAGGGCGCGGCGGTCCTGGACGTCACAGCCCGCGCGCTCTTCGACCTCGAGGGCCTCGACATCTCCGACGCGGAGAAGGCGCGGTTCCAGGGGCAGGCGGCCAACTTCGTCAAGCAGTGGAGGTCCAGAAGCACTTTGGGCCCGCCGCCGAGGGCTTGCAGGCCATGCGCGCGGAGTTCAAGTCCACGCAGGACCGCCTCAAGGCCGAGCGTCCGCGATCGGCCGCCCCAGGGCCGGCCGCCGAGGCCGCCGCAGCCGCCGCTTCGCAGCCCCAGCAGCCCACAGGGAAGGCGGCAGGAGAAGGATCGAGGAAAGGGTGCCGAGGAGCCAGCCACGAAGGGCCCCGCCGACGGGACCGATGCCCCCCCTCCTGGCCAGCGTCCTGGGTTTGCTGCTGATCCTGTTGGGTCAAGCACGAGCGGTAGCGCCATCGGGGCTCCTCGAGCTCCACGCCGCCAGGTGGGCCCTGCCGAGCGGGGCCGAATCCTGGCCAGGGCGGGCGGGCCCTCCGAGGCCCCGGGCCGGCGAGCCCGAGAGCGCGGCCTCGGGAGGCCGGCGCGCGCCGCGGCTGACCCCCACCCCTTGGCACGGAGCCGCTCGGCTCCAGCGTCGCCCAATCCGGCGCGGACTCCGCCGCGGGCGAGGCAGGCGCCCCGGCGCCCCCGTGCTGCTGGCCCCTGGCGCTGCCGCGGCCTTCGCGGGTTGGCTTCTTCGTCGACGGCTTCGTCTGCCAGCCGACCGCGGGCGCGCGCCTGGCAGCGGCCTCGGCGTAGGAGGGGCGCCAGATACTGCGCCAACGGCAGGCGCCGCTGTGGGCTCGACGGGGCGCCGTGGAGGCCGCGGACCAGGGCCCTGCGCGTCGGCGAGCCCTACGCGCCAAGTGGACCTTGGAGCGTCACCTCCGCGCGTGCACAGGCCATTAGAGGGAGGGCCCGCTCTCAAATGACGACGACAGGACAGTTTCCTCCTAGCGCAGGGCTTGCGTGCCACGCGTTGCTCGGCACCTGGAACACCCGCTGATGGACTCCCTGGTCATCGAACCAGCTGGGCGCGATGGCACCTCCACCCCATGCGCCCGCATCGACATGGCCATCGAGATTTGCAATCGAGTTGTTCGACAGAGGGCGAATCCGCCATTCCCAATGGACGCGGCACCTCCCCATCTATGGCGCGCAGGAGTGAATGGGGCGATGGCGCGAGCACCAGGGGGCGATGCGCAGAGAGACCGAAGCCTTAGACAGCGGCCAAGGGCTAGTTCACGCCCTCATCGCGCGCACCGCCCTGGACATGGACGCCCCCGCAGCGCGCCGCCAGGGCGGCCCCGGCCACCTCGAGAGCTCCAGCAGACTGCAGGACGACGCCAAGGAGGTGATCAGCATCGCCAGCACCGAGAGGGCCACTCGTGGTAAGGAAGCTGGGTACAAACCAGGCATGACTCATGACCATGCGGTGGCTGAACGCCAACTCCTCCTGGTCGTCCCTGATTGACATCGTCGACGAGCACCCGCTGGGGCTCGACGCCGCCCTCTGCGCCCAGGAGCACGAGCTCTCGGCGGACTACATCGGGGAGGTCAGTGTCTCTGCTACGCGAGACACCCCGTGGTCGGCCTGACGGCCGCCGCAAGTGGGCCTGTTGGTCGACGCGTTGCAGGCGTGGGCATCGTGGCCCCCGGGTGCCTGGGGTTCACGTACTTTGACGGCGTCGGCGCCTTCGACGCCCCCTCTGGTTCGCCTGGGCGGCTCGCGGCCGCGTGGGCTCCAGGGTCCCAGAAGGGGGGGTCATGCTGGTCACCGCGTGCTTCTGAACGGCGGAGGGCTGGGCCATCCGCAACCTCTCGCTTCTCGACGCCATCGGCGAGCTGGTCCGCTCCTACGACGTCCCCCGGGTGTTCCAGGCTGATTTCAACGACGTGCCCGACGCTCTCAAGGGTGGCGACTGGCGCGCCGACGTCGGGGGCGTTTCTTCGCCCCTGAAGAGCCCGCCTGCCAGGGGCGCGGAGATGGGCGGGTCATCGACTTCTTCGTCGTCGACACTCGCATCGCGCACGCCTTCGCCGACGCCGCCGCCGCGGGCGCCCCCGCGCCCCCGCGCGGCCCGGCGCGCCTCACCACGGCTAGACCCTTGCGTGCCATGGTGGACGGCCCTGGACGGGGGCCGCCAGGGCTCAAGAGCTACGGGTGGGGGCATGTCTGTTTGGATGACGACGGACGGTTCGGTTATCAGGGCCATGCGCGGCTCATTTCCTGGCTCGCGTTTCCTTGGCACCGGTTTGAGGGCTGAGATGTTCGGCCACGTGAAAGTTCTGGAAGTCCCCCCCCTTCTCTCTGCGCTGGCGTAGACAATGCCACAGTCATCAGAGGCCTGCGCAGAGGCCAGAAGTGGCGCTGCCGAGCCTCTCGCCCCCATGCTGCCCCGTGGTCTGGAGTGCTGTTTCTCCGAGGGGAGAGTTTTGCCGAACGCGGTTCTTTCTCCTTCGCGAAGGATCGGGCCCCGTCTGGAGGCCCGGCCGACGAGCCGCATGACGGCTTCCTGGATTTCCGAGGGAACCAGCTTTCCGACGCCGAAGCAAAGGCAGGCGCAGATTTGCAGGCGGTCTCCCAGTGGATAAGCGCCACTCGGACTTCCCGAGCGGCCGAGGTCCAGGGGGTGCTCGGGCCGGTGGCGGGGATGACGGCGTCGGTGGGGGAGTTCGGAGATTCCGCTGGGAGACCTGCCGCAGTTGCTCGACCCCGTCGCTCTCGACTCCCGCCTGGCCCCACCCCTCACTCCCTCCTCAGAGCTCGCGGCGCGTGGCGTTGCACCTCGCGCTGTCGCTGCGCGCGCACCGTGCGCTCTAGGCGCGCTCTGGCACGCAGACCTTGTGGGGGGAGGCGTCGTGTCGACCGTCGTTGGGTCGTCCCAGAGGGGGAGGAGGAGTTCAAGATTCCTGCCGCACTCCGCGGCGAGGCCTTGGAGCACGAGCTCCATCGTGCTGGCCAGTGCACGTGCTGCGCCCGCTGCGGGGTGCTCACGGGCGAGAGGGGGTGCAAGCTCGTCGTCGCCTGCAGGAGATCTCGTGCAAACCCGGCGGCAGCGCACCGTTTCTCGCTCTTGGCCCGAGCGAGGCGTCCTTACCGAGTGCAGCTCGCTCTCGAGGAGGTGCCCCGTTTCCTGCTCTCTTGGGAATGCGACGCCTTCTGGGAGTGATCGCTCTGCCCCACACTTTCTCTTTGGCCAGAGTTTTCTGGCGGGGAGGGGTGAGGCACCTCAGCAGTGTGCCCCCACCCGTCGCCTGGACTGAAGGCTGGCCGGGGCAGGGACTTGCCAGGCGGGCTCTCGCAGCAAACCTCATCCTTTTGCAAGACCCCGCAGGGCCCCCCCGCATCGGCGGCCGCGGGCACGCGACCCCGCCGCCCGCCTTGCTGCCGCCCGCGGCCGACAATGCACGCCCACGGGCCGCCCCCCCCCCGGAGCAGAAGGGCGCCGCGCGCTCGGAGGCAGAAAATGTACAGTTGGGCTCGATTTCCGTGCTTGAGGAAGAGGAGGAGGAGGAGGAGGAGGAGGAGGAGGAGGAGGAGGAGGACGAGGAGGAGGAGGAGGAGGAGGAGGAGGAAGTGGAGGAAGAGACGAGGGAGGATTAGGAGGAAGCGGAAGAGGAAGAGGAGGAGGAAAGGGAGGAGAAGGAAAAGGAGGAGGAGGACGAGGACGAGACAAGGACGAGGACGAGGACGAGGGACGAGGACGAGACGAGGAGGACGAGGAGGACGAGGAGGACGGAGGAGGACGAGTGAGGAGAGAGGACGAGGAGGGGAGGAGGAGGAAAAGGAGGAGGAAAAGGAGGAGGAAGAGGAAGAGGAAGAGAGGAAGAGGAAGAAGAGGATGATGATGATGATGATGATGATGATGATTATGATGATAGAGGAGGAGGAGAGGAGGAGGAGGAGGAGGAGGAGGAGGAGGAGGAGGAGGAGAGGAGAGGAGAGGAGGAGGAGAGAGGAGGAGGACGAGGAGGAGGGACGAGGAGGAGGACGAGGAGGAGGACGAGGAGGGCGAGGAGGACGAGGAGGACGAGGAGGACGAGGAGGACGAGGAGGACGAGGAGGACGAGGAGGACGAGAAGGACGAGGAGGACGAGGAGGGCGAGGACGAGGACGAGGACGAGGACGAGGAGGACGAGGAGGACGAGGAGGAGGAGGAGGAGGAGGAGGAGGAGGAGGAAGAGGACGAGGAGGAGGAGGAGGAGGAGGAGGAGGAGGAGAAGGGGAGGAGGAGGATCGTCCTGGTTGGTCGTGCGCTTCTCCTGCTTTCTTGGTCCTTCACCTCTGGTGGCAGCTCTTCGCATTCCTGTGCCATGCGGAGGAAACCCATGCCAAGAAACACCTTGCTTGCCTCCTGTGTGCCCTGGGTTTCCTGGGACTCGATGGTTCTGCTATGGAAGGCGTGACGTTGTACCAAAAATCAGTGGACGCCCTGGCGTCTCAGGGGGTGGCTTTCTCGTGGAAGATTCTTGTGGTCGAGCCCCTACTGTGCCCACACCCGCCGGTCGATTCTTGCAGAGAAGGATTTGGGCCGAAGGGTTCTGGACTCCTTAAAGATTCCCAGGATTAAAGACAAGGCTGTAACTGAATGCTCTTTTGCTGGACTTCTGCTGTGTTTTGTTTTCGTTTTGGCAGGGAGGTACAGGAAAACAGGTAGAGCAAAACGAACAACGAAACAAAAACAAAACGGAAAACAACGTTTAGGTCCAGCCCTGAGTAAGGATTGAGGCTCAGAGGGGGAGTGAGAGGACCCGAGGACGCGCCCACTCCGTGCCTCGAGGCACGGCGGCGGATCTCTGGGCCCCCAAGTCCCAATCTGCTTTCTAGGCGCCTTCGCACTTCAAGAGTGGAGTGGGCTTCCCTCTGCCCTCGTCCTCAGGGGGCGGGCGGCAGCCCAACCTACTTCTCAACGCCTCCCTACTCCGTGTTTCGACCCGCTTCTTCCGGCCGACGGGTGCCCTCCGCCCGTTTTTCCCTGTTTGGGGCCTCCTGGGAGGCCCTCGTCGCTACGGCTGGATTCGCCTCGAGATCCTCGTCAGAACGCCACCTGGGCAGAGGTCCGGGGAGTGGCGGTATCGGTACCTTTGGGTTTCCCAAGCGCCCGCCGTCCCAGAACGGGCGGACGACCACCGCTGCGAACAAGCGCTCGGGTCCAGCTCAGACCAAGTGGGTGAGGCCGTAGCCTCTGGATTCTGGCGTGTCTGGACGCATGCAATGCGGGCATCATAATCTACGAGGCGAGGAGGAGGAGGAGGAAGAGGAGGAAGGAGGAGGAGGAGGAGGAGGAGGAGGAAGAGAAGGAGGAAGAGCAGAAGGAGGAGGAGGAGGAGGTGGAGGAGGAGGAGGAAGCCCTTGGTGTCGGTGCATGCGCGTGCGACCCTATCGGGTGCGATCCGAGTCGCGAGCTGAGGCCGCTGTCATTCGAGGCTGGGGCTTCTGGGCCGTTGCCGCCTGGGCCCCAGAAAGTGCTTCCAGCCGCCCGGGGACTCTCAAGCAGCTGTGCCTCGCCGAGAGCGGTCCGGGGCGTGCTCGGGGATCGCCCCGAGCGGCCGCCGGAGAGCCGAGTTGTGTGACCCGAGAGCCAAGCCTCCAACGTGTTGAAAAGTCAAGACAGAGTTTTGGTTACTCAAGACTTCGTAATAAAGGGAGGGGGTCTCATTTCGGGAGGGGGGTCTCTTCCAGGCTGTCTTGCAGGGTTCTGGGGGGTCTGGGGACGATGTTTTGGAGGGCTCTCCCACGGGGGAGGTCTGAAATGGCTTGTCTTGGAGGGTCCAGACCCCCTCCCTTTTATTACGAAATCTGGAGTAATCTTTTTCGGCGTCTGGGGGCCCTCGCCGGGCCCTGGGGCCCTCCAAAAGCTGCCCGCGACGTGGAGCCGGTTCTGTGGAAGGGCTCGGGACCTCCTGGGGTTCACGTGTCGACGGCACGTAGGAGTGACCTGTCGCCGGAGTGACCTCTGGTGCGGGCCCAGTGGGGCCCGCTTGGTCGCTGAATGCAATGCGGTAGCAGGGGCTTGCGCGCCTGGCGTTGTCCCCGAAGGGGCCCCCCCTTGGCCGCGAACGAAAGGTCACTCTGGCGAATATAGCTGGGCGTGACGCCCCGATTCGTTGTCTCCCGCGCCGTGTGTGCCTGTGGTTGCGTGAGCCATCGACATCGCTTGGAGTGATCTTTCTCGCAGGCGCGCCTCGTTTCCCAGGGTGGAGAGAGAGAGAAGTGGACAGGGAGGACGGGGAAAGAGGTCACTCTTGCCTTGGGTCACTCTTGCGTGTAGCCGAACACTGCGAAAAGATCATGACGTCGGGGGTTTGAGTCTGGGTTCGCTTTCGGTTCGGCTCCCGATCGCTGGCGTCGGCGTGGGCCGGCCAGGACAGGGGGCGCTTCGGCCCGATTCCGATCCGGCCTGGGACGATCCGCGGGCGGCCTGGTCCTCGTCCTCCTCCTCCTCCTCTATTCCTCCTCCTCCTCCTCCTCTCCTCCTCCTCCTCCTACTCCTCCTCTCCTCCTCCTCCTCCTCGTCCTCCTCGTCCTCCTCCTCCTCCTCCTCCTCCTCCTCCTCCTCTCCCTTCTCCTCCTCTTCCAGTTCCTCCTCCTCCTCCGCCTGTTCCTCCTCCTCCTCCCCCTCCTCCTCCTCCTCCTCCTCCCTCCTCCTCCCTCCTCCTCCTCCTCCTCCTCCTCCTCCTCCTCCTCCTCCTCCTCCCCCCATTGATCGCCCCCTCGTTAACTCGCGCCCAAAGCTCGGGTCGGACGGGGCTAGGACGAGGACAAATCCGTTCAAGAGCGTGCGGAACGCTCCCAGAACGTTCCGGAACGCTCTGAGAAGGCCGCGGCGTCCGAGACGTGTTCCAGAGCCGCCGGATGACCGAGATTCCCGATGCATCCTCGCCCGAATTCGTCCTCGTCCTGGCTTCGTCGTATCGGGCCCGCCGCCCCCCCCTTTCAGGAAGCGGCGGCGAAGATCGCCGAAGGCTCCAGCGCCCTGAGGGATCGCGCGGCCAGCATCTCGGGCGCCGCGTCGGAGGACGTTGTGTTGTCGTCGTCGTCGTCGTCGTCGGTGTTGTCCTCATCGTCGTCGTTGTTCATGTTGTTAATGCTGTTGTTGTTGTTGCTGTTGTTGCTGTTGTTGCTGTTGCTGTTGCTGTTTTGTTGTTGCTGTTGCTGTTGTTGTCGTTGTTGTTGTTGTTGTTGTTGCTTTTGAACTCTCATTTCTGAAAAATATGTATGGCTGATCCCCGCTCACCGGCGCATACTGTTTTTCAATCAAAGTGTGCCCCTCGACGCTCGCAGGGAAAGTCTTGGTGCTCAAACTGTGCCCATGGCCCCCCGGATTACAACAACAACCGCTCCCGCCTGAGGTTTCCTCCAAATTTTCTCAGGACCCCCGCTCCTGAGGCTGCCTCACAATTTACGCAGGAACGGCGCTCCCGCTTGAGACTTCCTCGCAATTGAGTCAAGTCTTCCTCGCAATTTAGTGAAGACCCCCGCGCCCGCCAGAGAACCCTTCACATGTTATTCAGTAATTGCGCTCTCGCCTGTGACTTCCATGCAATTTATTCAGAAATCGCGCTTTCGACACTCAGGAAACACGCTGCGCCAATGACGCCGTTACAATTTTCTTAGTAATCGCGCTCTCGCCATACTCAGGCATCCCGCTTGAATGTCCCACCCGCCCGACCCGCCCGTCAGGGGATCGCCCGCCCGTCGTGGGCTCCCGCCCGTGACTTCCTTCAGAAACGGCGTTTTCTCCTAGGACTTCCTCGAACGTTCACGCTCTTACCTTCCTGCTTCTCCTCCCTCTCCCTCCTTCCTCCTCCCTCCTCTCCTCCCTTCTCTCTCCCTCCTCTCTTCCCTCATCCTTATGCCTCTCTGCCCTATCCCCTCACCCTCCTCTCCCTCCTCCCTTCTCCCTCCCCTCTCCTGCCCTCTGTGACAAGGGTCTAGATTTTCACGAATAGGTTTAGCGTGATGTTTCATCCAGGGGATCTTTGACAGAGTGCGCTTGTGTCCGTACCTGTGGCTCAAGGCAAAACATTCGTTTGCTCCTGCTGCTGCCACAGTTGGTAGCGGAGCGGGGTCGGGCCCGTGGCCATGGGCGGGAGCGCGCAGCTGTAGCGGCTGCGGCCTACCCGCTTGCGAGCCTCGGGCCGGCTCTGCTCTGTACGCTGAGCGGCGTGGGATCCACGGCGAGTGATGCCTGCCGAAGCAGACGCAGGCGAGGTCTACGCGGCCATGCAGCCAGGGGCTACCGCTACGGGGAACGGCGGAAGCTCGGCGGCTGCCAGTTCACAGGGGCTTACTCTGAGCCCGCAGGCGCTACAGGAGGCGGTGGCGAGCATTGTTCAGACCACGATGAGGGCCACGGTCCCTGATCTCGTGCGAGAGTCAATGCGAGGAGTCTCCGCGGCGCAGGGCGACCGTCCAGAACCTCGAGATGGACAGGAGTTCGACCCCTGGGGTGCAGGACTAAGCAAGATCCCCAGCGCCAACACCGACCAGCCAAAGGCCGAGGAGACGGCAGCAGCACGAGATGAAGACGGCTGGCGGAAGCAAGGCGCCGGGGGAGAATGGGAAAAGCAGCGCTGGTGGCCTCCAGACTCAGAGGAGATGGGCCACGACAGCGGCTGGCGGTCCTACGGCTGGGCCTCCGGCGGCTGGGGCGGCAGCGCTAGCTGGGCGCCACGCGGGGACTACTCCGACCCTCCCGCGTGGCCCGGCTGGGGGCACTACCGACAGTGGAAGCGTGCTCTCAGGAGATGGGACGCTAACACAGACGTACCTGTGTGGCGCCGAAGCGAGAAGTTCATGAAGTTGTTCGACTGGAACATGCAGGCCCGTTTCGAGGACATCACCGACTACGAGCTCACGAAGGCCACCTGGCTGGATACGCTGATCGCGCGGATGGATTTGATGATTGGAGAGCGCGAAGGCGACGAGCTTCGAAGGTCTGGGCGGAGAGCTCTGTATGAGGCGACTAGGGAGAACAAAGAGACTCTTACCCAGTACGTGAGTCGACGAGAAGCCCAGTTCACCGAGGCGGAGGGACACGACCTCTGGATGTCCGACAAATTGAAGGGTCTGTTCCTTGAGGAGGGCGCCAATCTCTCGTCTCAGGGTACTCAGAATTTGCGGACATTGGACATCAGGGAGCCTGGAGTTCAAGAACATCGCCTGGGCTCTTCGTCAGATGGATGCCTCAGGCTCTGAGCGTCTCCTGCCGGGCCGATCAGGAGCGGGAGCCATGTTCGGTACTGAGGACCACGGTCCGGATGCTGAGCGCCCAGAGGCCAGTGGTGACCAGTTTTCTCCTCCCTCCTTTCCTTCTCGGTCAGAGGGTGGTGGTGTCGGTGGTCAGATCGACTACGGCTCCGGCGAGGACGATGACTTCTACGACGAGGATGCCGAGGAGGATGAGGAGCTGGACATCGAGGCCGTGCTCGCCGAGATTGACGACATGGATCTGACAGAGGACCAGGTCGAGGACGCCATGGCGAGCCTCTCCAACTCGAGGACGTGGAAGCAGAACAAGGATCTCAAGCGGGCCGCCAAGCGGGACAGGGAGTACTTCGGCGGCCGCCGAGGAGGTGATGCTCCTCCGCCACCTCGCGGCCCCCCTGGTGGTCGTGGCGGCGGCGCCCGAGGAAGAGGTGGTGCCCGAGGAGGTCGGGGAGCTGGCGGCGCCGGGAGAGGCCGACGACGGCCGTGGCTCTCTCAGGAGCAGCTGATGAAGGTGACCAAGTGCAAGTTGTGCTTCCAGAAGGGTCACTGGGGACGAGAGTGCCCCAACCCGCCCAAGGACGGCAAGGCGGGCGGTCCCGTGCGGGAGCGCCGAGGGCTGTCTGCCTACATGTTCGAGGGGTTCGTCGGGGTCAGTTCCCTGTCCTTCCCGTCCTGGCGCGAGGCCGAGGAGGAGCTGACGACCGACGCGATCTACCTGACGGCCAAGTCGACACAGGGACTGGTGGATCCAGGAGCTGGCAGCGACCTCGTGGGCCTTGACGCTCTCAATCGAGAGTCAGAGGCATTGGCCCAGCAGGGGCTGCAGTACGCGGTGGTGCCCGAGGAGCGACGAGTACTGAAGAACGCCCATGGCGTCGGAGGTGCGGCCAAGGTCATCAGCTCAGTTCTTTTTCCGCTGTGCCTCGGCGGAGCTTTCGGAGTGGTTGACACCACGGTCTTGGCAGACTCTGTGCCGCACTTGCTGAGCGTGAATCTTCTAGATTTCCTGGGATGCGTGGTAGACCTCCCTCGGAATCAGCTAGTGTCCGCCACTCTCGATCAAGTGATCGTCATGACCAGACTCGGGTCTGGTCACCGGATGGCTGAAATCGTGAGGCCTCTGAACGAGCCATACGAGGTCCCGGCGTCGGCGCTGCGCAAGTATCCGTTTCTCAAGCCCGACTCTTTCACGTTGAAGCACGGGGAGCTACCACTCAAGATGGACTCGAGTGGCAAGGTTTCGAGGTACATGGCGCTCCCTCTCCCAGTCCTCCTACTGGTGGCCATCTCCATGGGGCTAGGGGCGTTGAGATCCAGGAAGGTGCAAAGGGCTCATGGGGACTCTACGAGGCCACAAACACGTTCAGGACGTTCACGGTCGACTCTCTGGAGAACTCGGACTACGAGATCACGAATCAGGAGGACTCTTGGGTGCTTAGGACTCTACGGGATCTACTGGGGCCTCATGGGGTTCGAGTCGGTCTTGGGGGTCTTTCAGTCGCGGCCTCAGTGCGCCCGCCCCGGCCTAGGATCAAGATGGCCAGCTAAGGCGACCAGTAACTACGACGAGGTTTGGCGTCGTGCAACGAAGACGGTCAACCCAGGAGCTCTCGACCCTTATCCCGCTCTGTCCGTAGCCATCGGCTCGAGCCTTAGTTTCAGCTATCTGAGATCATCGTTCCAGAGTCGGCCCCGACTCGTTCGTATCCATAAAAGAGATGAGGCTGGCCGTGTGGCTGGCGGTGGCGACGGCCCTTCCGATCCTCAGGACCGTGCAGGCAGGGAAGAAAAAGGAGCCCATCGCCAAGAAGGCAACCGACGAGTTCCTGGCACGTCGGGCTGCCGAGGAGGAATCCGACTCAGGAGTGAGCTCTCAGTCCGAGACCCCGCAGCTGCCGATCCAGGGGCTGAGCGTGCAGAGTCAGCCGGCAGGCGAGACCACCGCGACGCAGCTCACACCCGCCCAGATGCAGGCGGTGCAGGGCATGACGCCCGAGCAGATCCAGCAGCTGGTGGCCATGGCAGCCGGACAGGCCAGCGGCAGCACTGCGACGAGCACGGAGGCAGTCGATGCGGTGATGGAAGTTTCTCAGCCTTCGGAGACATCGCCAGGGGCGAGCGGCACAGGATCGGCCCCACGGACGGTCGACCGACCTCCCTTGCCGAGGGGGTTGCCACCCGGCTGGTCGCCCCCTGCTCATCAGCTGGGACCAGCCATGGCCATGGTGCCGCCGACGCTCGAGCAGCAGCAAGCGGCCGCGGCCTTGGCAGCGGCAGCGGCAGGGATCCCAGTGCCTCCGGGACCAGTGACGGGACCATCGGCCCAGGTCGTAGCAGCCAGAGCCGGAGAGCTCCAGGCGGCGGCCAGGGCGGCAGCGACAGCAGCAAGGACGACCACAGCAGCGTCGACCGCCCCGGGACAACCTCCGGTGAAGGCTCCTCCGTCGACCCCTCCTGCGGCCTCTACAGTGCACGGGCCAGCGTTGCCGGGGAAGCCCCCCCCCGTCCACCCGAGCAACTGTCAGCACCCGCAGCACGCGATCAAGTACTACGGGAACCAGCACGGCGGAGGTTCCAAGTGCAACATCTGCGGGGAGCGGTTGACCTGGGTGCCGCGAGGCCAGGGAGGAGGTGGTGTTCCGTCCGCTCCCTCGGCGGCGGAGGCTGCACGGGCAGCGGCCAGCAGTGCTCAGAAGGCAGTCGACATACTGCAAAACGACCCGAACTTTCGGGCCGGGGGTGCAGCACTCACGACGGTGAACTCTCTGAGCACCCTCCTCCAGAGCTTGCATTGGCAGCTGGAAT